TTGTTGATTTTGCCATCTCAACTGCAACAAGTGAGCCAGGTTAAGTGATACTGGTTAGCTCTCAAAGTCCACCGAAGAGAGATTCAGTACTAATTTAATAGCAGAATGAAAAGGCACTTTAGCCCTCCAGGGTTCTTGGGGAGAAGCATCACATGCATTTTTAAATACAGGTATTTCTGTCCTTGTTTATCTTGTCACCTCAACTGCAGCAAATGGTAGTTAGCTCTCAAGTCCACCAAATGGAAATTCAAAACTAATGTAATAGCTGTGTAGAAAACAATTATAGTCCTTCAGGGATTTCAGAGGAAAGCTTTGCACAATTTTTTAAACGCAGGTATTTCAGCCCTTCTTGATCTTGTCACTTCAACTGCAGCAAGTGAGTCAGGTTGAGCGCGGCTGGTTAGCTCTCAAAAGTCCACTAAAAAGGTAGATTCGGAACTACAGTAATGTAATGGCGGAGTGAAAGGCACTTTAGCCGGCCCTCTGAGGGTTTTTTTTGGGGGGGAGGGAAGTTTCACACATATTTTTAAATGCCAGTATTTCTGTCCTTGCTGTTTCTGTCACCTCAACTAGGGCAAATGCTGGTTAGCTCTCAAGTCCACCTAATAGAGATTCAGAACTAAGATAATGGCAGAGTAAAAATGGAATTTAGTTCTCCCAGGGGGGAGAACTAAACTTCTGGGGGGAAGTTTCTCACACATTTTTAAATGCAGGTATTTCAGCCCTTCTTGATTTTGTCATCTCAACTGCAGCATATGTGCAAGGTAAAGTGTTGCTGGTCTCTCAAAAGTCCCCCAAAAGGGAGATTCAGTACTAATGAATGGTAAAGTGAAAAGGCGCTTTAGCCCTCCAGGGTTTTCTTTGAGGAAGTTTTGCATGTATTTTTAAATGCAGGTATTTCTTCTGCCCTTGTCAGTTAACTCTCCAAGTCTGTCAAAAGGGAGATTTGGAACTAATTCAACAGCAGAGTAAAAAGACACTTTAGCTGTTGAGTTTTGAGGGGAAAGCTTCACACGCATGTTTAAATGTAGGTATTTCTGTCCTTGTTGCAGGTATTTTCAGTCCTTCTCAGTTAGCTCTCAAAGTCCACCCAAAGGGAAATTCAGTACTAATATAATGGCAGAGTGAGAAGACACTTTACCCCCCACCGGGTTGTTGTTTTTTTGTGGGGGGAGAAATTTTGCACCTATTTTCAAATGCAGGTATTTCTGTCCTTGTTGGTATTGTCAATAAACAATCAAATCCACCAAAAGGGAGATTGGGAACTAATGTAATGGCAGAGTGAGAAGACACTTGAGGGCCCCCCTCAGGGTTGTTGTTGTTTTTTTTGGGGGGGGGGATTTTGCACATATTCTCAAATGCAGGTATTTCTGTGCGTGTTGATCTTGTCAGTTTACTCTCAAAGGCCGTCAAAGGGGGGACTGGGAACTCCTTTAAGGGCGGAGTGAAGAGGCCCTTTGGCGCTTCTGTGGTGGTGATGGCGGGGGAGGCTCAGAGCGGGAGCAGGAGGTTCCTGTGCAGGTCCTCCACCTCCATCTCCCACATGCTCCGGTTGAAGGGGTTGCCCGAGAGGTCGGTCACCTTCAGGGCCCGGAGGGTGGGCTCGGGGCTGACGGCCTGCACCAGGCCCAGCACCATCACGTACTTTCCGGGGATGAGGCAGGGCCGCCCCTGGGGGACTCCGTCCGCCCCCGAGGCCACGAAGGCCCCGCCGCTCCCGTCCCGCAGCCGCAGCCGCCCTGCCTCCGCCTCCGCCTCCTCCACCGTCCCCTGCATCCAGACCAGCGGCACCTCCAGCGGGGGAAGGCCGCGCTCCTCCCGCCCCAGGAGCCACGGGCCGCCCGGGGAACGACGACGGCAGCGACGCAGCTGCGACGCCAGCACCTTCACCGGCGGCGCCTGCCAAGGACGGGGCTCCTTCCCTGACATGGCGCCGCTCCCGCCGCTTTTCGCCCGGCGCGAGGGATGACGGGAGCGCAGAGCGCCTCGGCCAATCGCCGCAGAGTTGCCACCACAGTCGCGCGAGATTGCGCTCCCTGACCATAGAGAGGGAGAAAAGAAAGGATAGAGTGACCCTGTGGTCCCTATTGAAAACCTATCCGGGGTATAGAACCATAGAACTACATTTGTCCTCCACATTCGCTGGGGTTAGGGGCATAGGACCCCCGTGAATGTGGGGAAACCACACATAACAAAAAACACTAGGTTTTTACCTGAGAGAACACCTCTCTAGGAATCTCTAGGTCCTCCAGTGCAACTCTGTGGTCAACATCTGTCAGATATTGGCCATAGAATTGCACTGGAGGTGCGACAAATGCCTAGTGGAGTGTTCTCTCTAGAAATCTCTCGGTCCTTCAGTGAGATTTTTTGTTAAAGTTGACATAGAGTTGTGTTGGAGGACCTAGATATTCCTAGAGAGGACATATTAATAAAACCTGTGAATAATCAAATCCACAAAAGTGTATAGAATCCTAGAGTTGGAAGAGACCTCAAGGTCCATCCAGTCCAACCCACTGTGCCATGCAGGAACCCACAATCAAAGCATCCCCTGTGACAGATGGCCATCCAGTCTCTGTTTAAAGATTTCCTAAGAAGGAGTCTCCTCCACTCTCCAAGAGAGCGTGTGCTCCACTGTCAGACAGGTTCTTCCTAATATTGAGGTGGAATCTCATGCCCGGGTTGGCAATGCGTAGTAAAGTACAATAACATCCAAAATCCACCAAACAGCCATAGCTTTTTTTAGGCCAAGCACAGTGTATGAAATATATGCCGCAAGCATTCAAAGCTTCAAACAGACAAAGACTGTTTAAAAATCCTATTAAAACTGTTTCCTGACTATAAGTCAAGAACATAATCTTGTAACATTTTTGCAGTATGCCTCACTTTAAATCACGCCATGTAGAACCATGGCATCAGGTTCAAACTCAGATGTCCTCTACTTTTACTTTTGATGGAGAACAGCCTGTTTCTTTGTTTAAAAGATGGCTAGCCCCAGAGGCAGATGAGAGGCCCTCCCTCCATCATCATAGCAACTGTCACTGCTATGGCCTCTATACTGAAGACAATATAGTAAAGGTGCCATCCTCATCCTCGTCCCAGCCAAACAAAGGTGCTACAAAATCTCTAAATACTGATTCTACTGACTAACATGGCTATATCTTTGAATTTTACTTTTTCTCTCTTGTGTTTTTTTAGATTGTAAGTCTAACAGCAGGGAACTGTCAAATTAGCACAATCGGAGAGCATTTCTGAACAGTGGGGTATGAATACAATAAATAAGAATAAAAATAGGTGTATGACTTTTTAAACACTTGCCTGATGAAGAAGCCAGTGGAGGTTTGAAACCTTGCATCATGTATTTTGTACATTCTGGTTGTTCCAATAAAGATATCTCTGTTTTGCAGATTTTGGATGTTTGGATGGTTCATGTTGCGAGTTTGTATGTTGCGTGCCTTCAAGTTGTTTCTGACTTACAGCAACTCTAAGGTGAACCTATCGTGGGGTTTTCTTGGCAAGGTTATTGAACTAACTTTAAATGATTTTCCCTTTGAGTGACGAGTGTTTTTTGAGTTGGGCCGTAGACATGCCGACAGGTAGAACCACTTCATGGGGTACATCTACACTGTAGAAACAATGCAGTTTGACACCACTTTAACTGCCAT